TTATGTATCTCATCATTTTTAAAACTATTAATGACATTATGTTGATTGCACTTATATGGATGATATTGTCTTTAAATCAACATTTATGCTTTGTACAAAGAAGTTTACCTCAAGCATGTAAAATAAATTGAAATTAGCATGATAAGTAAACTTGATTTCTTATAAGGAGTGAAACTCATTTAGTGTCATGAAAATTAAAATTCATATATTTATTTGACACTTTAATATTGGGATTATGACTTTTAAAGAGCATTTTTTGTTCTAGCTTATATGACAAATGTGATCTCACAAGTGTTTTATTATTTGATGCATCTATTTTTTAGCACTTTATAACTTTATGTGATGTTTCTACATCACTTCTTAAAGAATATGTCTAAAAGAGATATTAAGTTCATCCACATGAAGAATCATGTAGCCGATCTCTCACAACATCTCTTAAAGAAAATATTTTGGTATCAAGGCCTTTATCTTTATATCATTGTTTTTGCAATCTAGAACTCCATGAGATGCATTTACATCACCTCTTAAGAAATATTGAGCTCATCCACATGGAAAATCATGTAGCCAAATATCTCTAATCGTATATATTCAGGTAAATATACTTTTGCATGATTAGGAATTCATTGCATATGACTAGAAGTAGTGTCACTACTTGTATATGCTTTATACTTTTTATGCCATGTATGATTTTTATCATTCAACCATATGCTTGTGAAAGAATATATTTTGGTATCATTGCCCCATCCTATATATCATTGTGTTAATGTGTATCCAATGAATGATATATGATGCAAATAGAAGCATATTCAGGTGGGGAGATTATTGATAATCTCTTATTACATGCTAAGTCCAATTAACTTATTTTGGAAATTGTCAAGTATGCTACAAAATGACTTGTTGGTCATTATATTCATACTCATGAGCTTTCATGATTTTGATGATTTTTCCTTCCTTCTTGAAAATATCAAATGGGAAATTTATTTTAAGATTGAAGTACACTTAAATTCCTAAATTTGCCTCTACAAAGGTTGTTTGCCTTTTGGCATATTCTAGTCCATGCTTCATTTTTTTTTTTATTATTATTATTATTATTTTTTACTATATATACTTTTTGCCTATTTGAGTTTATGTTTCATCTTTGGTTTATGTTTTATGTATACTTTTGTATATGCTATGAACCTTAATGATGTCTTACACTCATGCTATCAATAAAATTGGCTTAGTTCTTATGATATAATTGCTTACATATTTCATTCTAAATCATATTATAGTCATTAATACTATTATTTCCAATTCTTGATTGCCATTATTTCACTATGCTAAATGATAAATGCCCAATGAAGTTGTCTAAGCCTCCCACATTTTTAAGATGACGAAAAGGGAGAAATATGTGTGATGTGATTCGCTATGTATGATCTTAAATGTATGTAAATGTCTAAAATGAATGTAGAATGTACAAGCATCTTATCTTATGACATTATGTTCATTGAATGCACTTTGATAGGGGGAGCATTTTTCAAATGCTACTCCATTTATTTATGAATACATCAATGTTTTGTCATCATCAAAAAAGGGGAGATTGTTGACCTTAAGGATTCCATCCAAAGACAATTTAGAGGTTTTGATGATAACAAACCATTAATGGTGTTTAAGGACTAATGTTCACATTGAGTGTTACATTCAAAGAAGAACCTCAATGAAGATCATAAAGACCATTCCAAGTATTCCATTACTCAAGATCACATCTATGGAAAGCAAAGAAGACAAAGGAACATGAAGTTGCAAGGAAATATAGCTTGAACTACAATGAGCAAGAAAACAAATCAAAGGAAGGAAGAAATCAAGAACACCTCAAAACCTAAAGATCATGGACAAAGCTTGAATACATGGGTAGATAAGATGGTGAATGTTTAGGATTCAATGTCAAAGTATTTATAAATCTATTTGAAACTCATCTCTATAGGACCATGCATATCATATCATCATTCATATGCTCCTATATCCATTAGAAATAGACTATGCACTTCATTCACATATAATTGACATATGGAGTCTTTGTTAAAGAATGAGTTAGTTCAAGCTTACTTAAGCTTTTAAAGAACTCATCACTTGTGCTAGAATAACTAGGACCATGCACATCAACCACATGATTCATATTGGTCAACTATTAAGGCATATGAAGCCTTCATTATCATGAGTTGGTAATGGACATTAGGACCCTTGGACGTGCCTCATGAAAAACTATATTTTTGGCTAAGTGTGAAAAATGGATTTTTGAAATAAACATATTTTGAAAATAATTTTTTTCGGTAATTACTCCTTTTTTTTCGATAATTACTCCTTACACTTCAATTAGCCTAAACTAATTTTATTAGGATTTATGACCAAGTCTACATTAGTCTACATAAGGATTTATTTGTATCAAAACTGTCGGAAATCCAAATTTGTACTAAAACTGAATTTCTACATTTTGATTTAGTTGGATTTCACTTTCTTATATTTTTTATTGAATCCAAATAGGGGATACTTTCTTATTTACTTCTTAGAACAAAATTCTAAAGTAGCAGTTTTTCTGAAAAAGTTCATTTCGGCAGACCGAAATGAAATAAGCAAAAGGTATCATTACATCCAAAACACCACCACCACCACCACTACCACCATCGTCCCACAACTAGGAGCTCAACCACCCCCAAATTAGGCCTTATCCCCTTTCTTACACACACACACCCCACCACCCCACACCCCCCAAATTAGGCCTTATCCCCTTTCTTACACACACACCCCACCACCCCATCACACCCACAACCAAATTCAACCCACCACCACCATCCACAACCAAGGTCAGGGATGGACTCCTCGGATTCAAACGTCCGGTCCATCGCAAAGGCAGTGGCTCCGAGGAATTCTTTCTGAGCGTGGAGTCTTGCGAGAGATCGAGACCGCCCCAAACCCTCATCTTGATTGGCGACTAATTCAGAATCCATGCCTTGGGATTTAACAAGTGACTCATCTTTAAATGTTTCTTCAAGACCTTCCCTGAGCTTATACTCTTGCAATTTTATGAGAACTGATGAGTTTCTCTTGTTGTCCTTTGTTGAATGTTCAGAGATATCCTTTTTTCTGCTCTTTTTGTCCATGATCAGAGCAGCACGGAGAGATATTAGCTTCCATAGCGAAAGATGCATCAAAGCTTATAATAGATTTGAGAGGAATACCAGAATGAATGACTAGCTCAACAAGATCAAAGAAACCCTAGATCAACTGAAACAACAAAATTGGAGTTCAAAAATATGAAGGTCAAAAGGTAAAGTAGACACAAATATTAGGGTTCAGTTTGAGAAATCCAGTGAATCAGTGGACCATTTCTAAAGGGAGGGAGGGCAAAAAAATTATATATTTAAGCTAATAAAAATTGAAAACCCATAAAGATTCAAATGATTCCTGAAATTTTAAACCCTAGATCCACAACATTAACATGAAATTGGAAGAAAACCAATCCCCAAAATCCAAAACCCAGATCCCAAAAAATGGCAAAGAACAAACTACAGAAGACACTTACATCAAATGTAGTAGATGAATGTCTCCAGTGAGCAACAAGACATAGAGTTGAACAAAGCCCTTGACTTCGGCCCAAAAATTGACTTCGGCCTAAAAATTGACTTTGGCAAACCCATTTCACCCACAACCCGACTTCGGCGAACCCTTTTCATCCACGACCTTCACCGCCACCACCCGACCACCGCATCTTCACCCACGACCTTTGCTGCCACCACCCTACCATCGCATTTTCACTCACAACCTTCGCCACCCGAGAATCTGTGTTTGGTAGAAATAGGATTGAAAAGAGAAAGATAAGGAGAGAATAGTTTGGTCATTTTATGAGAAAATTAAAATATATCTTAGGGCATATTAGACATTTCATGTCAATTAAGGTTGTATTTAGTAGGGGTGAACAAATAATTCGTCAATCCGGTCCAAACCAATCCGATCCGTGTGGTTTGGTTCGGTTTTCAGATCTCATGGTTCGGTGATGGTTTAGAAAAATAGTAATCCGCTATTCGCGGTTCGGTTAACGGATTGAGCCCTGAAAATATTAATCTGAACCGATCCGAACCGTTGCCCAAATAATATATTAATATATTATATATATAACACTATATATATACAATATACAATATTGAATGTACTTACTGTATTTCTATTTCTTTTATTCATTATTATATTTGGATAATTTATATTACCTATTATTAAGTATATAATTTACATATCTATTGCTATTATTTGATATATGATTTACAAATTTTATTACTATTACTGTTAGCATGTTACCTAGTATATGATTTACAAATCTATTTTATTTTTCTAGTTTTAATTACTAGTTTTTAATTACTAATTTGAGATTTTAATGGGCCATAAAATCTAATTATATTGGGTTATTTGAAAAGCCCAATCCGCCCAAACCGATTCGATCCGATCCGTTATTTCACGGATTGGTTTGGTTCGGATTGAAGGTCCTCACGGATCGGTTCGGTTTCAAATTTCTCCAATCCGTGAGGATCGGTTTGGATTGAACTTTATCCCAAATTGAACCAATCCGATCCGTGATCACCTTTAGTATTTGACTTATTTTTTATAAAATGGAGTGTCATTATTCAAGTTTACAAATTTAAAAAGTGTCATTATCTAAAAATAGTTTAAATTATATTTATTTAAGGCAAAAGTAAAAGGTGTGAGTTCACCCAAATTTTTTAAAAAGTAACTCACCCGTGCTATCATTTGTCCTTTCTTTCCTATTTTTCATCCATTCCACTTCCTTCCCAGGATACATTCCACTTCCTTCCCAAGATAGCATATATGTCCCGTGATCATCAGACTAGGGCCACTTAAAATTTCACACGTCTCGGGGCCACACCACATCATCTTTTCCTTTTGAGAATAGAAAAAGGGTAGTTGGGTAATTAGGATCTCCACCAAAGAGAGTCTCTATATATTTCTTGCTCTGTACTTCACCCTTTCGGTCCAGTGTCTTCTGATTTCTTACCTCTCGAATTGCGGCGATGAGCGACGGAGAAGAAGCAACTCGACGCCGCACTGCGGTGGCGGAGTACCGGAAAAAGCTTCTACAGCACAAAGAACACGAATCTAGAGTGCGTTCAGGTTCGTCCCACTGAGCCCAATTCCTAACCCTAATTCGATACAAGAGGTTCTTTAATGTATTTTATCGATCTGTTCATGCCAATACGTATATATATATATATATATATTTGATTAACTTCTCGAAATTTTAATGATTTGACAGTATATCTTCTATTCACTATGAAACTGCCTTATTTTACTGAAAATCTTGTAGAAACTTGTTCTATATCTCCCATCAAAGCGTTAAAAAGTGGTCAAGAAGTGATTATTGCAAATATTCCCAAAATTTGATCAATTTTGGGTAGCTTAGTGGTTGTATGAAAGTTTCTTGTTCTGTCACTTTTTTCTAGGGCTATTTAAATTATTTTTTGATAGACTGTACATTGACATTTGATAATTGTGTTGGTGGTTTTAAGTTTGATGTAATGTGAGTGGGAATTATGAAAATTGCAGTGAGAGAGAATTTGAGAGCTTCCAAAAAAGAATTTAATAAGACAGAAGATGATTTGAAGTCTCTTCAGAGCGTTGGCCAGATAATTGGAGAAGTTCTTAGGTCTCTCGACAATGAACGATGTAACTACTCTTCTCTTTAGTTGTGTTTTGTTTTTTTAATTATCTCTTTCCTCTAGTACTTGTTTATCATTTCTATATATATATATATATATATATATATATATATATATATATTTGACTCAATATGAGATCTGGAGGATTAAACTATTCAATTTGATCATTCATGAAGTTCTTTAAATATGTAGACAAGTAGACGTTATTTTGTCCTGGGAAAATACTTCCGAACCCCTTTAACACGTTGATGCCCTTGATGGTTTGGATGTATGTTTGGTATGTTAGTGATTGTTAAAGCAAGCAGTGGCCCAAGATATGTCGTTGGCTGCCGTAGTAAAGTGGACAAGGAAAAACTGACTTCTGGAACGCGAGTAGTACTTGATATGACAACACTCACAATCATGCGGGCTCTTCCACGTGAAGTAAGTTTTTGTGATTCTTGTTCTTAGTGCAATCAAAGAGGAAAATTAGTAATTGGCGGCAATGTCTATAGGCTTATTGTTTATTTTCTATTTCAACCATTTGATTGGTAATAGTAATGAGAATTTGTTATCATTTAATGAATTTTTTTAACTTTGTGGGATTATTTGTTTGACAGGTTGATCCAGTTGTTTATAACATGCTTCATGAAGATCCAGGTAACATCAGCTACTCTGCCGTGGGAGGTTTATCGGATCAAATCCGAGAACTTAGAGAATCTATTGAACTACCTCTCATGAATCCTGAGCTCTTCGTTAGAGTTGGGATCAAACCTCCGAAGGTGATTCATGCTTACCTTTTTTTATTCTTTATATACGGTTTATAGGCTGAACTAATTAACTTTAGCCCTTCCCATTGTGGGAGAATATATGGATCAATTCTGATTCAGAAGACGTCTGGAATATTGATTGTTACAGGGTGTTCTTCTTTATGGGCCTCCTGGCACTGGCAAGACATTGTTAGCTAGAGCTATTGCCAGTAATATAGATGCCAACTTTTTAAAGGTTAGAATGTATTCTATGTTTTCTTTTGTATTCTTCCTTATATGGATTACTTTCCTAAAAATTTAGAACGTTGCATCTTTCTCTCATCTTTTGTAGGTTGTTTCAAGTGCCATAATTGATAAGTACATCGGTGAAAGTGCAAGGTTGATAAGGGAAATGTTTGGATATGCACGTGATCACCAAGTAAGAGCTTGGATTCTGCATAATGTGTATTTCTTTGTGATATATCTTATCAAAAGGAAGTAATTCTGATGGTTTGATTCTGTTTGTCAAGCCCTGCATAATCTTTATGGACGAGATTGATGCAATTGGTGGACGCCGTTTCAGTGAAGGAACAAGTGCTGACCGTGAAATTCAAAGAACACTGATGGAGTTACTTAATCAGCTTGATGGTTTTGATCAGCTTGGGAAGGTATTTTTTGGCTCATGTCTGTCACTGTATGTTTGTTGAAAATTTAGGAATAGAAAAATTGTAAAAACACTTTGATAAATATTTTGTCCTTAAGGGCTAGCTCCTACACCAAATCTCTAGGGAGGGGTGGCATATCTTCATTCTACCATCCACACATATCTCCAACCTTTACAACTAATGAAATTTAAACTTTTTTCCTTGGCAAATTTTATTGGAAAAGAGAAACTTCAATGATGGAGCTTGCAATTGAAGGTTCCATCATGTAATTCATATGTGACCTTAACATGGACTCGAAACTCTGCAGACAGAGTGATGGAGATCAAGATAGGAGTTTAGGAGCCAAGTCCACTTGCCAAGGGTGATCCACACCTATGCTAGGCGAAGGCGCAAGAAATAGATTTTAGGGTTTTTTTTTTCAAAATTTAGTAATTACATATTAATTTCACATTTGGCATTCCCTTGGAAAGATCTATGGTTTAATAATTAGGGTTTTCTTTATTTTAGGGGTTGTCCATTTTGAGTAGGTCTTTATTTTTAGGGTTGCTGTGTTTTGCGTAGAGTTTTGCCTATGACGGCTATGATGTAATAGGGCTATGCAATTTTTGGATTAGTGAATAATATTGTGGTTTTAGAATATTCTCTCCTGTTTTTTTCTCCCTCTATATTTTCTTGCTTTCTCTTCCCTTCAGTTTGTGACTTTGTGTAGCCTTTCTCTTTGTTTATTTTCTCATCCCTTCATCTAATTCTCCCTTTTTTTCTTCTAGCCTCATTTCATCTTTTTATTCTCATCTCCTTTCTTTTTGGTCTTGCATCAGTTTTGTATCAGAGCAATCTTGTCCGACATCACAGAGTATTCAGATGGTAGTTTAAGGCCATTATTAATTGCAATCTATAGAAACCGTGCAGGAAATCTCTCTTTCTATGTCCCAACTCCCATGCGCTTGACTGTTTGTTTTCTTATATAAATATATATCTATGCTTGAGTGGACGGATGTATTGTTCCTTTGATGGGAATAAGCCATGGGAATCAGTCTTGTTTATCCATTCCAATGTTAGCTGTGAACATTAAAGATTTTTCACATTCTAGGGGCAAAATATGCATTTTGTTCTTGTCAATCTCGTGTATTCATCGTGATTGCTGAATGTGGGCTTTTTTCCTAGTTTCATTTTTCATACACAAGCTTTCTTTCCTAATTGGAAAACGGAAATATTTGAATTTGTGCTACAGGTAAAAATGATTATGGCAACAAATCGACCTGATGTGCTTGACCCTGCACTTCTTCGTCCTGGGCGTCTTGACAGAAAGATTGAGATTCCGTTGCCAAATGAGCAATCAAGAATGGAAATTCTTAAGATCCATGCTGCTGGAATTGCCAAGCATGGTGAGATTGACTATGAAGCTGTTGTAAAGCTTGCTGAGGTGAGTCAGAACAATTCAAATGTTCACTCTAATGCCAGATGTAAAATATAATTTGTTTCTGCAATTGTTTCAGGGCTTTAATGGAGCTGATCTTCGTAACGTGTGCACGGAGGCTGGAATGTCGGCAATCCGTGCAGAACGAGATTATGTTATCCATGAAGATTTTATGAAGGTAAGGCCTTTATTTATGTCTTTGTACTATATTTGTTGGCCACCCTTGGCAATTAATAAGGAACAGAAAACTATTGGTGTCATTTAACACTAATGGATGTTTGATGTGCTCATCATTTCTTCTTGTAATTTTCTAGGCTGTTCGAAAACTGAACGAGGCAAAGAAGCTGGAATCAACTTCGCATTACAACACGGATTTTGGAAAAGACTAAAAATATATGTTATTCTCTTGTAAGAGCCATGGATGTTTGGGCAGTGCAGTTTCTTTACTTCCAGTCACTCTGGGTTTTTGTTGCCACATACTTGCGCTGGCTGGACCTTTGAGAACATTGTACACTTCAAAACAGTAGTCCTGTCTGTCAGTTTATTTATTATGATTTGTAGTAAGCTGAGAATTTGAAGAAAATGAAGAAAAATATTTGTTGGGTTGGCAGGAATTTTTGTTGTTTATTTATACGTTTTGGAAAGAAAAAAAAAAAAAAAAAATTAAATGTTTTGACTTTGATTCAGGTATTTTTCACAAAACTTAGGCCATTCCATTGTGCTTTTGTAACAGGTTTGGTATTTTGTGCTTTTTGTAGCTTCAAAACGGCTCTATATATATTAATTAAGTCTTTTAGAATCGAAACAATTTATTGGAAGTTTTGTTTTGTATTTTTGTTTTTTTGTCTTCCTAATTTGTTACTCTGATTTTTGGTTATGGAAAACTAGTAATATGTGTTTTTCAAGTGTTTATTACAGAAGGGTGTAACACGTGTCATGTCAATATGAGAGAAACAAACTAATACTATATTTGACGGTGTTTTAGATTTGAAATTAGAAAAAATTGGATAGGAGAAAATTGGTACAAAATTTGAATAAATTTTTTTTTGATTTAAAATTTAAAAATTTAATATAAATTTTAATGTGTTTGTGAAGAAGGTACGTTCATCCGAATGCTGGTAGAAGTTTGAACACAGGGTTGTGCACAACCCATAGTCCATAATGCTATGAAATTGGTATTAGACAGTCTTGGATCAATTTGTCACGTCATGGATTAATCTAATGAAAACTCTATTTTTTTTTTTTTTTTTTTTTTGGGTAATACAATCTTGTGGTGTAGATTGAGTTGGTACACCAAATTTCAAAGGTTCACAATTCCCTAATAATTTTTTTGAGCTGAGTATAGTTTAATTTGATCAAAAAATTGATAACTTAGTAATCGGTTAGTGTAGCTCACTAAATTAATTATGGTTGGAGCTGAGTTTGGTTCAACTAATTAAATTTGATTGTTATTTAAATGCGATATTTGGTTGGAAGGAAGGATTGAGAATAGATGAATGAACAAACAAGAGTAAACGAAAATTTAAGAAGAGAAAGAAAGGAAGTAAGGACATATGCTTCGTCACTCCTACCATATACAAATTTCAATTTAAACCTTTTTCAAAAAATATTCAAATAGATATATGCCTTTTATTATTTTAAACTACGTACAATGAGAATAGAGTACATTTTTTTAAATATAAAATAAAAAATAAAAAAATTCCACCTCATTCATCAATTTTACTTTCCTTCTGATTCTCATCCATCCCTACCAAAAAAGAAAACGCGGACGCAGGTGTGAAATAGACCCGATAGCTATCTCACCACAAAAGTGTCCTCTGTAAACCATCTCCGACGGCGCATTCTCCGGTCACCGTTAACTATCAGCAGCAAATGGAGATCGCTCCGGCATCTTGCGGATACTCGGTGGGTCACATCCGCCGCTTCGACCATATTATTCCTAAAAAAATTGTCCGCACGAGGACTCGGAGTCGAACTCAGACGACGACGTTATTTCCCTGTATAGTGGCAAGCAATTCGGCTACAGTTGAATCCAAATCTCGGAATCGGATGTTTATTATGGGAATGGGTTTTGTGGGACAGTTTTTCGCTCAGGACTTGAAGAACCAAGGATGGTAAAAATTCTCTTTTCCCAAGTTTCACATTTATGTATAAACCCTAGTTTCACATATATATATATATATATATATGTAGATATATACACACATTTTAACATATACGTGTACATCACTGCATCTTAATATGAGAATCGGTTGCATGCTATGAGATACTCCGATTGTGGTAGTTTATTATGATTGGTTCAGTTTTATCTGAATATTAGTAGCTATTACACCCAATTTACTTGAAACGTCCCTTTGTTTTTTAAAATTATACAGTACTTACGATTTTCTCTAGCTGAACACAGTACACCATGGCTGCTGAGGTTAATTCTTGCGGTGGTAGTAGTAACTTTTGAGAGAGGCTTCTTTTCAAGTGCACATTCAGCTTTTTCCTTCCATGTAATCTTGTCTAGGCGTGCACACTGGTTCGGTTTGGTTCAATTTGGAGGGTAAACTGACACCGTAAAAGTTCTAGTGATTCCATAAAAGTTGGAACTGGACCAAACCGATGAAACTGCTAAAACTGAGCCAATCATACAATACGAGAACATCTGGATCTGTTGGGTTTTACCGGTTAAGATTTTCTAAAATATAGTATAATATTAAAGCCTTTTAGCCTAAAACAAACTTTATATAACCTAATTTTTGTGGCAGAGGTAAATTGTCGTCTATTGCCTACTCAAAATGTATTTTTAATTTCTTATATCATTTAGTAACATAACAATAAGAAATAGAATACGGATCTCCATGTAAATGAGGTTAAGGCTTGAAGAGGGTGTATATAACCCTGGTTTAGTGTGATACAAGCTTATGTTAACAAAATGTTACCACCCAATCAATGACAACAAATACATATGTATGCTTATGCATATATGTGTGTGTGTGTGTGTGTATATATATATATATATATGCATCTTTTTGTGTATAAATGTCACAGTTCATTAGGGATTAGTTTGGTTTTTGGACTTCTAAACCGTGAATCGAACTGATACTAATAGTTCCTCTTTTTTTTGGAATTGGAACCAAACCATTGAGGCACAAAACCGAATCAAATTGCATGGTTTGGATTGATTTGAATAAGATTGATGATTTCAATGGTTCCATGTGCACCCTCTTGTCCTATTAATCAGACTCCGCTGAAAAATAATCCCAAAGCTGCTGCGTAACTTCATTTAAAGAGTAAAAGATGCTGTGTTGTTTCTCCACTTGTCTACATAGAGCACATGTTGCATCACTGATAATTATAAAAATTTCAACTTTTGCCTTGCATGAACCTTTACTTAACTGCCAGCAATAATATGAAATTATGCCAGGGCAAGTGGGCAACTGCTTTCAAAAACCAAACTTTCTTGTGCCAGTTAGCTATGGGTATTTGACCTCTCTATTCAACATTAAATGTGCGTAATGGGGGTAACTGTCCAAATGAACTCGTCATCCTTAAAACGATCAAACTTTAAGGTCAAGGGGATGTAACTGATTGGTCTTGGAATTTCCACTGTAGATGGGTTAAGTCAGTTCCATTCTCCTCCCCCTATGAAGTCTGCGACTTCTGTTAGGCTGGTTTCTGTACTAGGCACAATTTCGTAAGAAATTTCTGTATTAATATGGCCCCAATGAGTGCTAGTTAGTAGTTACCTAACCCAAAAAGGTTATCTCCTCAAAAGCTTTTGTAATTTCATTCCTCAATCTCAACATTTTCCTACACGATGACGAGATATTGGAAGAGATTGCTGATCGATTAAATTACGTGCATACTAACTTCCAAAGTACTTCTGTCGCATTATTCAGAACTTTTTATTGAGATGCTGTTGCAAAGCATTAAATATATATATATAGAGAGAGAGATTTATTTATTTTATTCTTTATTTTGTTAGATGGGAGTTTTTGCACAACATTAAGGGGGCATACCCTGTAGCAAGCTCAGTGCAAGCCCCTACAATGAACGAACAAAAGATAGACAATGATACATCAAGAAACCAGATAACACCAAAGCTTTATAAACACAGCTTCATTGAGTTGTCAACCATAAATACACCGTATTTTACATGAAAACTGAGCTGACAATATTCCAAACTAACTTCATACTTGGATTTTGACACCAGATAAACTACTAACTTCTGACTCGATAGTGCTTGGTCTCTGTTATCATTATATATTTTAGAAAAACTCTATAAATTAAACCCAGGAGGTTGGCTCAAGTGGGTAAGTCACTTGGCCTTGGAGCCTCATGAAGCATCAGGTTTAAGGTTCAACTCCTCTTGGGTGCAAACAATTATTTCTTCCCATATGTAATACAACAACAATGTTTAATAAAATCTTCATAAGAATATGCAGCAAATTATTTCTCTTAGACCTTCTAGCTGCAGAATTAATTTTTCTGGGCCTGCAACTAAAGCTTCGGAAATCGCTAGAATAGCAAGTAACATCTATGAATTCCTTCCACACTTGAGGATCAGCTTTAAGCATCCTTCTGGTTCATTCTACCATAAACAGCTACTTATCAAACAAAAAAAAAAAAAAATCTACCATAAACAGCTCCTTTTCTATCGCAAGGTTATGAGCCAAACTAAAATTGTGTTTGATGCCCTTTAGTCAATTTTAGATGGGTCATTTCAATATATTTTCACAAACATCCCCTGATACTGCCTTAGAAGCATTAGCATATGCTATTATTATTAAGGTTTTCATCCATTTCTTTCTTCCATATCAATTTTTTCGTCGGATCAACCTTGATATCTAGAACCTCCTTCGTTACCTAATCTATAGATTTTCTTGATAGTTTTTTTTTATATAATAGATTTGATGAGCATTCAAGGAATCTAGTATCATATGAGTTCTACGTGTAATAATATAAAATAAAATAATCAAATGAATTCAACAAAAAAGAATATCACAAGCATCAAAATCGTCAAAATATAAACAACATATAAAATATAATTTAAATCCACATAGTTCAAAATCACACAAGGTTGGATAACATAATTCCATTATCAACATGTGCAAAACAAAAAGTAAATACTTTTAACATTTATTTAGTTATAAACATGATCTGGTCCCCATGCCAAATTAAATAACATAGATGGATCTACGTGTACCCTCTTCAGAACTCGCTGCTCTTCCTCTCATTCTCCTTGCTGCTTTCTAAAATGTGAAATCACTTCTTTAGTATGCCAAAAGCCTTCTTGATTGTATCGCCCAATGAGGCATCATTGATTAAAAAACTCTCCAACATTTTCTAGAGAGAGAGAGAGAGAGAGAGAAAGTTGTATGATGGGGAGGAGGGGAACTGCAGAGTGTTGTTGGAGTGAACTGTGACGTAGAGTGAAGAGCAAAGAGGTGTAAATTGGAATGACGAGTTTTATTATATGTTCCCTCCAATGACCTGGAATTTCCCCTTTTTGTTGTCCAATTTTCTCTTTAAAATCTTGTCCATCCTTGATGCAAATTATTCATGGTGCTTTAGAAATTGTCTAGTCAAAATTGATGCGGTCAATAGTGTCTTGAAAAATTGTCTAATCAAAGTATATTAAGTAGTATTTCTTTTTTTTTTTTTTTTTTTTTTTTTTTGATATAGGAATGTAATGATGTCAGGGGAATGGTAGAAGCTGTTAAGATCAAGGTGTGAAGTACTTTCTTCTAGTAAATGTTCTACCAACTTCTCCTTTGTGAAAAGGTGCCCCCAAACCTGGATATAGAGCAGTTTGGAGAAATGAAGCGAAGGTCTGAAGGTGCCTGGCTTCCATAAGTTCAGGAATGGAACGGTCTTCACTTCCGCTCTTTTCCTTCTCTCGGCTGTCTCTGGATTTGCTCTTGGCCTTTGAACGTGCTTCACTGGAGTTTTCATCACAGAATCCATGAATCAATCAAGTCTTCTTATTCATTTGAGTGATGCTTTTCATAGCCACATTATTAATGCTTTGTGGGTTGCTTAAAAATCAGTTTAGAAAAGTGAAGTGTCATTAATAGTTATATTATTAAAGGGACAACCCTCTATACCTGCCGTAACCAAGTCTTAAATCAGTATAATTTTAATATATTATCAAATTTTAAACTTCTCTTCAGGCTTTCCCCAAATCTCCCTTTAGAAATCAAGGCTCTGTTGATTGGAGTAACCCTAGTCTTTCTTTTTTTCCCCGTTTGCTTCATTTCTGAGGTTAAAAAATAGATGGCCCAGAAAGAAAAGTTATAAGTCATTTTCTCCTCTTTTTCTTTTCTTCTCTCTTATAAGACAAAGGAGAGAAATTGAAAATGTCCCCTTCTCTTCATTTTCTCCCACACCAAACACATTGTTAATCTTTGTTATTCTTAAATTGATTTTTCAAACTACAATTTATCATAGTTCGTAAGCTTTCTTTATAATGTTGTCAGTTGCTGCTAAAAGTGAATATGATTTCTTGCTTCTTTGTGTGGTTCAAAACACTAGATTTTGTTTATGTGTGTCAGTGTGTGTACTAGTCTTTCTCTTGTATTCATACTTGATTTCAAATTGAGCTCTCAATTTGATTGTTCACCTTTTCATCACATGTTGATTTGTTATAGAAGTTGACAAATTGGAGATGGACCTGTAGGGTTGTATCTGGAACTTGCACCGACATTGTGAAGAAGAAGAAACTCGAGGAGATGGGATTTAATGTTTTTGTTTTCGATGCAAATAAGCCAGAGTGAGTCTATGATCATTATGGTGATCTTATAGGTAAAATGCTTCCTTCTGTGCAAACTGGCCATATTTAAAGATCTTTGTGCATGGATTGGTGTAATTGTTACAAATGATAAAAAGACGTCACTTAATTTGTTGAGCTTTTGTTGTTTTGCCTAGATTTTACCATTTTTTAGCTTTCTGCTCCTCTTATTCTCTTTCTGGCACCTACTTTGTTTATCTTTTATTTCAGACCAGAAGTCCTAAATGTTTTGAACTATCATACGCACCTCCTCATCTCCATCCCCGTTCTTAAGGGTATTGGTGACCCGGTAAAAGTTTATATGAGTTTTAATTTTCAAAGCTGCTGTTTCTGATCTTATATATAGCTTTGTAACTAAATCTCTCTGCATGCTTCCTTGACCACTTAATTTTTTTCCCTTTTTGTTTGCAGATTCTTCAGCATGAAGAACTTCTAAAAAGTAGACTGATGGATGGAGACCTCCAGTGGCTCTGTTATTTGTCATCAACAAGTATGTGTTAGTTATTATTGTTATTGTGCTAGTTTATCATCACAACTTCATATTTGAAAACACACGATCATAATTCATACAAGAACACTCTAAAGCATATTCATGCATGCATAAATACATGCATAAAATGTTCTATCAAATGTAATTCATGTTTGTACGATGCATAAAATGGACTGTCCAATGTAGTTCATGCATGTACCACTCCCTCTCCGTCTGATTGATTGTTCCAGGACTTGTTTTGTGCTGAAGTAACGTTGGTTATGTTATGTAATTTCAAGGTCACCTCATCACTCACATCCTTTACTCGTTGCATCTACTTTCTTTTTCAACAAAATAAATAAATAAATCATTTGTTTGGTCATCTCCCCAAGAATCAACCATATGCAGCAAATTAAAATAAATTTGACAACTTCACATTAACCTTTTTTCGAGGTATTATCTTAATTCTTAAACCAGGTGGCGTTGATGATACGCAATTCCGTGACATCACATCAATTGAAAAACCCCTCCCTTTGGGGAAAAATGGAGAAATGGTAAATGTATTCAAGATGGTTTCATTTTCACACAATACATTTTCAGTTTATACCATATCTTCATATCTGAGATGTGTCCATGATTAAAACTGGGACGATACACATTACACCACAACTTTGAATCAGAAAGAGAGATTTTAAGCGCACTCAATTGGATAAAATTTTTAAGTAGTTGGTGTTATTTTATATCAACCATCTTTAGTTGAAAGCTCTTACCACTCTTACACATTTCATTCACTCCTCACCATTGCCACTCTCGTTCTTCATGTTATGATCTCATTTTTGTTTCTCCCAAATCGGGAAGCATCTCACTGCTTGGATTACATTGAATTTACTCAGTTTGTGCTGGAAGTTTATCTTATCTCATAGGCATCTGAAAAACTTGGCCAGTAACAATATTACTCATATAAACAGAAATTAGAATAGGGATGAATTTAAATTATGTTATCCTATTCCTTGAATCATTCAAATGAGTAAGATAGAAGAGATAGGGATGAATTTAAATTGTGTTATCCTATTCCTTGAATCATTCAAATGAATAAAGATAGAAGATATACAACAAATGGAGATCATGGAACTGAAATTATAATTTGTAAATTCCCAAAGGTTTTCATTTGATTAGAAGAAAAAAGAAACTGGAAAATGAAAGTAAGAAAAGTGAAATAAAAAAAGAAAAATAAGCTTTTCAGCATGTATTTGGTTAGACTGAAAATTTTGTAGAATATTGTAAAAGAATTTCATATGGTATGGATAGCATGAAAGTTACAAGTAAAAATTATTTTTTACCTCAACTGCCCTTTTTTAATTGAATGGTTTAACAAGACTAAACAAATTTGTCTTCAATAAATATTTTTTCAATCTATTTATGAATAAATAAATATAAGAATCTAGAAAAATAATTTTCTAGGACATGCAGAAAGAGAGATACGGACCATTATACCATTCTTTTAAAAAGTTACTACTCATAACACATTTTATTTTAGAGATATAAAAAGAAAGGGGATAGAGTGTAAGTTCACATAATGTTCCCAAGAAAGCAAAATTTCCGTGTTTTTTTGTCTGAGTTTTTTTTTTTTTGGGAAACTTAGGTGGTTATGAAAAATCACTTTACCTCAAAATTTTCCTTTTCTTTTTTTACAAACCTCTAAGTTGTTAAAATGAATTCAATTTCGTCTACTTTCCTTTATTTCCTATCTAACCAAACCAAGTCAAAGCCATTCTTCATTTGGACATTTACAGCTTTGTCCCATAGTGAAAAGATCTTCAACAAAGCTGAGCTGCATTAAATATGCTTGAATATTTCCGTGCTCCATTGTACGAGTACGACAATGATAGTAAATTGTCTCTAAATCAATTCCCGTTTCTTTGCATCCTCTACTCTTAAAATTTTCAGAAGTAAAATATATATATATATATATATATATATATATATTATGTCATGTCAAGCACGTAAATTTTATCTATAACTTTCTGAAAATATTCAGTGAACCTAAATTATGTAATCCTATTCCTTGAATCATTCTAATGACGAGATAAGACATATGGAATTGAGTTTTTTTTTTTCTTTCTAATATTCAAAGTGATTTTGCATGTGAATTGGACATGTAGAGCTTTGTTCTATATTGACTAGATCTATAACAAAACTATGTTTTGCATGCTTGAGTCATTTCTTGCTCTACTACAAGAATAGGATATCTCATAGTAATTTTTGTTTCTAGTTCCAATGTCCTGTTTTCTTTACATCCTGTACACTTCAATCTTCAGAAGTAACACATTTACATATCATGTCATGTCATGTCAAGAACCTGAATGTTATTTGCAACTCTGGAAATGTTTCTTTAATTTGTAGGTGTATATGGAAATTGTGGTGGTGCATGGGTGGATGAGGAGTAAGTTTGTGTAGCTTATTGTTGTTGGAAGTATTTTACGCTAAAGCTGGGACCCACTGTCACTAAAAATATGCACAATTCTGTAACAGTTATCCAATTAGCCCTACAAGTGAAGTGGCTAAAGCAAGGTCAACTGCTGAGGAAAGATGGTTAAAGTTAGGTCATGATCTTGCGCTTTCAGCACAAATATTTCGACTTGGAGGTATCTATGGGCCTGGCAGAAGGTTGTGGTGATTTATTTCATTAGCAAACTTCAGCATTGCTACATGCATTTATTCTTTGCTTGACTAGTCGTTTATTTTCTCCTAGAGCCTGTGCTGTTATTAAACTTATGTTTGTCCCACATTTATTGCTCTTACGATTGACCTTATGGGATGTTCTGCTACAGTGCTGTTGACACCATAATTAAGCAGAAGTCTTCATCAGCAAGTCAGAGAATGAGGGCATCCAGGAATTACACTTCAAGAGTTCACGTTGCAGACATTTGTCAATCACTCAAGGCCTCTATCTACAAGCCATCGCCAGGGTAAGTTCAATGATAGACCTCACCTAACTCAGTTAATTTTATCATGTACTTCTCTTCCCGGTTAATGAATTGTTCTCTGAGAAAATATTTGATGAAAACCTAAAATATAAGATTCCACAACATTACCACATCTCTGAGAAAATAAATAAACAAGTTTAACTGATTGTTTTTTGCCAACTTAACCTAATTTTTCTTCAATTGTTATTTGTATTCAAGCGAAATGTATCTGTCCCTACACACATACGGATGCATGAAAATAAAAATAAGAAATTGCTTGGACAAACAAATGCAAGCTCGAAGGGACTCATGAACATGAACATGTAAAGAGGAGCAAGCATCTGTATGATACATCTGTATGGAGTAACTCATTAGGTTGCCACGTGTCGATTGTAATTCATCATTTTTTAGTTTCTTTCCTTTTAATTCTACCCCGCTTTTCACTTGTTATTTAGAATCTCACTTTCATGCTGTTGCAGTTTGAGTTTTCCCTCTTTATTTCTGAATCAAGATTAGTAACATTTGTAGACTACTTTTCTTTTATTTTTTCTTTCTTATTTCAGGAAAATCTACAACATCGTAGATGATGACCCTGCCCCACGGATTGAAGTATTTACATTTGCACGGGACTTAATTGAGAAGAAATGGCCTGGCCATATCAAACAAATCACATCTGATGATAGATCAGAATCAATTATCCCAGAGGGAACTTCAAGGGGTGAAAAGCGAGTCTCAAATGCACGCATGAAGAAAGAACTAGGAGTGACGCTACTTCATCCAAGTTATGAATCAGGGTTGCAGAGCATTATCAATCATATGGATAATCCAATTCCGTATAGTCCTTTGGGTTAACGAAGTACTACAGTATTATGCTATATCTACATTTGGCTTTGTATGAAGAAGATTTGGTGTCAGTCAAATCTTATTGATTTATAGATGTAAAGTTTGTTTGTTTATGTGCTCTTTCATTTTTTATTTTTGCAAAGCGTAGAAATCATTACTTGAACATGCTATACATCCATTACTTTGCATGTATATATGCTAATCAATTGGGTTGGCAATTGTGAAAGTAAATGCCTCTGTGAATAGCAATTGTGAAAGTGAGTTTGTGCCATGGCATATCTGAAGCTTTGTTCTACGGAGATTATATGAATTATGGAGTATTGGAGGCAAAGTTGGAAGATTATGGAATGTCAAGTCCCAATCTATGCCATTCCAAGCAGTTAGACGTAGTAACTTCCACTTCTAAAAGCAGAAGAAAAGATATGCCAAACGAGCCTGAGATTTAAAGAGTGCGAGTCCTTGAGAGTTAAAAGAGAGTCAAGTAGAGTGTGAGATGCTAGCCTTGTACAAAGTATAAAGTGACTCTTCTACTCAAGGTTGCTGAGATTCCAACATCCTTATATTCCAATTTTGACTCATGATACCCCATTACTTCTAGCATTTCTGGAATGAGGAATAATACTGAATTATTAGCAAAGCTGTAATACATTCTTAAGAATTCATGAACACTTGTCATGAGACAGACAGACAGAGAGAAATGACTCCTATTAAATGGAGAGCTCAATCCTTGTGAGACCTTGCCCAAAACCACTTCTTCCTAGAAGGGTCGTTCTCTGACAGGGATCTATTGTTCCACCTGGATCCAAGAGAAAAGTGTCGCCTCAAGAATGGCTTTGCGAAGGAGCTCCTTCCACTCGAACTGGGTTCCATCTTGGGAACTTTTCCTTCTCGCTCTATATTTTTCCGACGATCAAGAACATCAAATCCAGCATCCAGATAACTATCCATGACTCGGTTCCTTGATATCTTATTGTTTCTTGGTTTCAGCTCTGCTTCCGCCCTTAGAACCTTTTTGGACATTTTTGACATTTGCTTCTTTCCAATTGTACAAGTTGGGCACGATGGGTCATACTGGTCCGCTTGGGGTGTCATAGCCTCCAGACATTCTGCATGGTAGACATGCCCACAAACCAGCACAGAAACGACTGAGAGCTCATTACCGGCAATAATTTTCTGGCTGCTCCATGGAGATCTCTCCACCAATGCCTTCGAGCAGGCTCCACAAGTTTGCGTGTCAATGGAGGGAGAATATGAAAACCTGCTGCTAGATTCACCTAACTTGCCACTGCCAAAGCCCACACACTCACTGTCGAAGGACCACCTTTCCCTTTGAGAAGAGGCCACAAGCTCAGAAAACGTGCGCATGGACCAGCCGTCAGAAGACCCACAATGGGATCCAGTTGCTAAATCATTACTGCAAGTGGAAAGTACAAAAGATGGTCTTCCTTCAGAAACTGGCGATTTCAACCCCAGGATTTGACTATCTGAAACTTGCCTTAAAAGCTGGTGCCCTGGTGAACGGCGGGCTCGTCTTGATCGGGTGGAGTTGGCAGGAAGAGAGCGAGTTTGGGAGTACAAAGGATCTGCAGTTGGCGGTAAGAAAGACGAGCTTGACGGTACAGAATATGAGATCTCAGGTGCAGATGTATTTTCAATTTCTGGTGAGTCGGTGGAGCACTGTACCTATAAGATAACCAAAACAGGCAAACATATCAATCAAATTGAGAAGGGGAGAGCAGCCTCTTTCACTAGCTTCAATTGGTTAAACTCACCTCGATACTATCATTTCCTGCCACTGGTAAATCTACACCAAGCATGTAAAAAAGAATCATATATAAGATTAAAACAAAATGAAGCAACAAAATATTGCAGATTTGTGATACGAGTCCCTATCAAGTTTGATAATGGAACCACAAATGAAAAGTAAAGGACTACGGCCAGAGTCATACAGTTCATACTACATTATTCTGCATTTGACAAATAATTTCTGCTCAAAGATAGAAAACCCAATCACACGCATGGTATTTAAAGCAGAGTAAGATAGAGTAAGGAATCAATAAGAAACCAGAAAGTTGACCAATGCATTCTTTTCCAGATTTCTATTCAATATCCATACCATGACAAGTGGCATCGGTAAGGGAGCTATAGGGAGTGAGCTGCAAAATGAGCTATTCACAGAGATGCAACAGATCCCAAAACTAATTCCTAGCAATGCTTAAGAGTTTTTTTCCCAATCTCTGGTTCTTTTGATCTATTATAGTACAACTCTTGACATGGATTAGTGACCAACACAAATAATAGGTAACAAGAACCAACTTTATAACCTGCAAGTTGTCACACAAGGCAGAAACCAAAAAAGAAGTCTTAATATCATCCAAATATAAATAATTTTATGTTTTACACAACAGCACCAAATGTTATTTAGCAGGAATACAAATGTCATTGTACACAACAAACACCAACTCTCGGACTCAAATATACAGCAGCAAGATTTATTGAACTCACCTTGGGGAATTGATTCCAACCATCCAACAATAAAGGAATTGGATGTCTAGAATTTGAAACATAAAGAGTCCAGAAAGGACTGCAGAAGCGAATTTGACAAGGAACCCCATCAACCATTAGACATGGTGTCAGAAATGGAGAGCTTGATATTATTATGCATAAAAAAAAAAATATGGATGTAAAATCATGTCTAACTCCAACGTATTATGAGAATCATCTATAATGTCAAATGCAAATCATTCCCTAATATGAGCAAAAATGAATGGGTAAAAGATAGATAAATATATATATATATGTATGTATGTATGTATGTATGTATGTATGTATGGAATAATGAGTGGCAAACCATTCTTATTTATTAACAACCATCTCATTTAAAAGCTTAAGTTGTTAGAGAGGGTGTAATTTTAATATTTAAATCCTCCAACACGCTCCCTCACATATGGCCTTCTTTTGGTCCAACACGTGTTTCAATTTTAATTATCAAGGTGAGGGTGAGGGTGAGGGTGAGGGTGAGGGTAGAACGCAGGACCTTTCCTGCTCTGTTACCATGTTAATAACCGTCTCCTCTAAAAGCTTAAGATGTTAGTTATGGTGTAACTTTAATATTTAAATCCTTCAACACCATTAATGATGCTAATGCAAGGGTACCCTTTTCTTTTATCTAACCTTTCAAAAGGTCAAAGAAAGAATGGCAACATTGTCAATTATTAATTTATTATTACTATTTTTTAAATTGTTGTGTTTCCACAGTAATATTTATCCAAGATCATAGAATTTGCACATTGGCTGATGATTATGATTGCATACTAATGCTATACAAACATTTGACTACAAATATCCAAGATCATAAAATTTTCAGTTTGCACCGCGGGTATAAACATGCAAAGATATATATGATGTCTCACAGCCTTAGATAAATCACACACACACCAATACTGAAATTCACACCATGTACTATTACATACAAACAGTAGTCAAATGTACATTATGCCAATTCACTGTATCATGTGAAATTATTATTGCAACCATGATGATCGACAACTAAAACATGGAAATAGTGACAACATTAAGATGATGCATTTGAATTTACATCTATTTTTCATTTATCATATATTATTATATTTGTTTAAAGAACACTTGCTCATAAGAACAACCTCAATCTCACCATTAGTATCTAGTTAAATAAGAGCTTCAGCCACAAAGTTAACCCTGACATTCAGCCTACTCAAAAAACTAGTAATAATAAAAATTATAATTTGTATTTTATGTTCCAACAAAATTTAGATAGATATAACCACACACAATGCCATTGTAAAGGTTTACCTGAACAAGGAGTTATTAGATTTGCAACCTGCGTTTCATGAACTGGGGACTTCTGAGACAAGGGAGTTCTGAAACTTTCTAATGGGCTTCCCCCAACAGAAAAATTACCCCTATCGGAACTTAATTCACCTTTCATCTCCATGCTACCATCCCCACTGATTTCATGAGAAAACCTATATGAATGATTCTCAATTTCCCCTGCCACGCGACTTCTATTATCCCAGTGGGAACTCCATGAAGGTGAATAAACAACATTCCTATTCAATGTTTCACCACCGCTTCTGCTGGGCAGCGCTCTATCCCTTGCAGCAACACAACAAGCTGACCCCATGCCCACTTGTATACAATAAATAGGCTCAAGTTTCCAAGAAAAGAATCGTCCAAAAACTAACAAAGCTCTAAGTAAAGAGTTCCATACAACTTTTTCCTGGAAAAGCAAGGAGAAAAAGGAAAAGAAAAGCATAAGCATAAGCAAGAAAGTAAAAGCAGGTATAATTTAGAGTATTCAATCATTCACTATCCATTTATGATTAAAGAAATCACTCAATATCAATTTAGAATGGAAAAATAGGATTCATTCAGGACCCCAAGTAGTTAGGAAAAGACTTTATTTTTGCCCATAATCCATTAGCGTTTCCAACTAGTAAAAGAAGTTGAGTAACTAAACAGTCAAAATATATCTTAAACTAAATAGTACAGAATTGAATTAAAAGTTCTTCCTGCAGAGAAGGCAAAACCAAACATGATTTAACAGTCAATCAAAATTAAGAAAACAGACAGTAAGAACCTAACTCAAGCCCAATGCTCAAAGCAGATATATGAATAAGTAGATTATTCTTTGGGGGAATAGGGAGCCAAACAGCAAAATAATTGTTGCATATTCAATGTAGCCAAATAATAATTGTTGTATTTTTCATAATTTGCATTATGAAAAATTATGCAAAAAAGAAGTTCAGAAAAAAGAAGTCAAACAAGAAATATCTCTTGATAAGTTCAGAAATAAGAGAAAATTCTATTACTGACAGAAACTCTTCTCCACTAACCTCTCTCACTTTCTGCCGCACTATGACACAAAGACAAAACATTAACATGTATACATTCTAATCTATCTAATCATTATATAATAATCGACTTAAAGTTATAACTACTTTATTTGTTTGAAAGACGAAAATGCATCCTACAGAAAACCAAGTAAAATGAGCCTAATTTCTTGGTTTCATGCCAAACTGATTTTGGAAGGTAATTTCATTTTAAATTTATTGTTTGAAATTACTTCTAATTTTCAGAAAAAGGAAAATATCTCAGAAGTAACACTCAACCCAAAGATTTCACATCAAACGGATATTTGAATCTAATATTCATTTTACTGTTTGATTGTTTCCCTTGATGGAACCTAATATGTAGCTTAAATGTGCACTCCTTCTTCCTTAATGGACTTGTTGCAAAAACAGAGTTCAGTTGATGAATACATTTCTTCTTCTATGAATATAATGTGATTTCTTCCCCTCTGCAGGAACACAGTGCCACGTGAAATGGATAATGAGCAAAGCCTTTTAAATTCACTGTCTGAGTACAGATTTTTTCCTTCCATACCCAATTTTCCCTTGACCTTCTTTTGGTTATTGCACAGAAAAATGGTATGACGTTTGTAATCTAAACAACAGAACATATATTTAGAAAGGGACAGGGATGAAGGGAAGGAGAGATAAAGAGAAACAGATGCATCTAAGAAACTAAAACTGTACATTTTTACTATAAAAGATCCACTAACATCAAATCAATATTAGAATCATTTGTTTACGTAACTTTGTTTTTCCCTCCTTCTATTAGTGTAGATAATTTCACACATACTGAAATGATTAAACTCTATTTTTACCAGTGATGTTCTTTTCATAAATAAGTAATACCTAAAGGCCAACACTACAGTTTATTTTCAGAAAACCAGTTATATTTTGTTAAATGTGGCATCTCATGCTTAACAGAACAAAAAATAGAGTTTTCCTTCCTCCAATAAAAAGATTTTTTCTGTTTCCTAAAACCCTGCCTGAAGTTGTCAATCCAAGCCTCACTACCACCAAACGAGTTCTTCCAAAATAAAAAGGATAAAAAATAAACTTCTACAACACTTCCATATAAAACCCCACAAATACATACAAAACTACATTTGAGTTAATGATACGAGGAAATACAGAAGCAACCGAGCAAAACTCTTTCATAGTATTATTACACAAACCAAAACGTTGCAATCAGTCACATGAAATAATATCCTGTTTCATCCAATTGTTGATTGTTAAAAAAGTACAATTTACTTCAGTAAAACATTACGTCAAGCTCAAGTGGTATCTCTTCATCCTCTCATAGAGGAGGGTTCAAGCCCCTATTGGAACATAGTGGAAGCTTGTATTCTTACCTACCTACCTATATATATATATATATATATCATATTCAAGTATAACTTCCAGATATGGATCATCATGTTTAAGAACACAAGCAAATAAGACTTCCTTACTGTCAGCAATAACTACTAAACAGAACAGCATTTCTTGACATTGAAAATACCTCTGATTTCAATAATTACCCAAATCCAGAAAGAAAACAAACACACACACAGTAAAAGGGCATTAATTTCCATTCATAATCGAGAAAGACTAGGTGCTAGAAAGCAGAGGACTACTAGTGTGAAACATTCTCATTCCGATAAATTGTTCACGAAAATTTAAATCGAAACTCCAAATTTGGTAAGAAATCACACCGTGGGAAGCTCATAAATGAGCTACTGATTACAAATTAGAAAATAAGAAGAATCTCCATAATCTAGGGCTTTTCAGAAACATTTAAGTCCTAAATAAACAAAAAGCACAAGAACAAAAACAGTAAAACAAACGAAATAACACACCTCTCTAGTTATAATTAGGGTTTCGGAGTCATAGAGGTAGGAGAGAGAAAGCTCTTCGTCTGCTTCTTCATTATCAATCTGCACTGCGAAGAGAGAGAAAATAGAAACGGTTTATTATATATATACACACATATATGCGTGTGTGTGAGCTTCGTTAGGGTTTGGGTCTGTTGAATTCGCGGCAGAAAGTGGAGGCGTTTGTTATGATGACGGAGTTTAATAGCGAGATTTGCTTGGAAAATTGTGCAACTTCTGCTTTTTCCACTCTTCTTCGCTTTATTTTTTTACTTGCCTTTTATGTTTTTTTCTTTTTTACTTTTTAACTTTTTACCACAAGTTTTGATTTTTTTATTGGACGATCGCTAGTGGTTTCTTCTCCTATACGCCAAGTGCGCAATACGCCTCCCAACACCTTTTTGAGGGTTTTTTTTTTTTTTTTTTTTTTACACCCTTTTGAGGGATTGGATGACAGAAATTATTGTATATCTTTCGGATCACTGGTCCAACTAAGAACCTAATTATTCCGTAGAAAAAAAAAAGAAGTGTGAAAAGAAAATAAGAAATAATTTTTTTTTTTGTGATATAGATAATATAAAGAAAGAAAGAAAAATAGAAAGGATGAGTCTCCTTTTTTCTTTACAAATTTTCATAATTTTTCTTTTATAAATTTTTATCTGTCAAAAAAAAGACGAAAGAGAAGAGAGAATACAAGTAGATTATTATAAAAATTTTAAATTAAGTATTATACTAAATTATACAAATTTTAAATTATACTATTATCCTCTATAAATTACAATATTATAAATGTTATTGAATATAATGATAAAAACAATTACAACTTTTTCTTTTGTTTACATTATAAACTTATTCTCTAGCCTTCCATCCAATAAAAAAAAATAAAAAAAAAATACGTAATCTCTTTTCTATGTTATCACATCTATATCTTCTTCTTTTCCTTTCATCTAAATTTTTTTTTTTATCTTTCAACTAAAAAAAGTATAAAATAAAACTAATACAATTACTTGTCACCCTGTGATTGGTTTGACCATTTAACAACTTTTTAAGTAACATCGATTGTGCTTTGAAATTAGTACATAATTTCAAAATTATTCGTGGAGACCAATCATGTGCTAACTAAAACACACGTGACATTTATAATAACAACGGTTAGTAAGCTTCACTTTAGAAATAGCACAAATCAAGTTAGCTTTTGTACTTGCGCAATGAACGTTTTACCATCATGGCACTACTTTGGTACGTGATTCATTTAGTGCCAAGCTTGAAATAGTGGGCAAAAGAAAAGTAGGAAAGATCAATTGCACATTTCTATGGAAAGAAACATATTCTTTCTCCTTTGGTTGGTTGTTAAGGCAAAACTAATGCCCAACTTTCAAACTTTAATGTTGTTAGAGCTGATCAGGAAGTTGAGGATGACCCAAAACAAATCGTCTTTGGGGGAGTTTATTCAAAAAAAAATTTAAGTGTTATTGCCCCCAAAAAAAAATAAGAAATAAAATAAAAATAAAACACTTTCAAGAGGCTAAATTTTATATTTACTGAAAGAATTTCTTAAACCCGTTATTTCTAAAATTTATAGTCGTATAGTGTTACTTATGTAGTTGTAAGAATTCAAATCAATAATCACCAAGCGTGACCAAAAGTCATCGGTCATCTGAATAATTGCAACTACCAGAATAATTATGTATCTCACATCTATTGTGTGTCTGTGTATTACAATATATCTGGCATACTGGTAGGAGATCGCCCCAATTTTTTTTTTTTTTCCTTCTTTTTTTTTTTACATTTTTTTTTTAATTTTTTATTTATCATCATACCATTTGACAAAAAATGATGGAGGATAAGTATAAACTTTACATTGTATACCATTTCTTCTTGAACAATCACAAACATTAATTTTTTTTAATTGTGGATAGATAAGGAGTTGATTAATGTTGCTTGAACATGTACTTATTTTGAGAGGTAATTTACACAAACCTTCCTTATAGTTTATCATAATTACACAAACTTCTCCTTTGGTTTGGAAATTTATTCGGAGCTCCCTTAAAAATAAAACTTTCCTACACGAACCTCCCTTCTGTTGAATCAACGTCAGTCAAGGACGGAATATACTGATGTCATGTACGAATTAAATAAAATTTCCAAAATACCCTCATCTTCTTCATTACATATACATATTTGTGTGACCTGTGTATATTATATACATTTACAGACCTTGGCTGAACCAATATGAGAAATGCAATCTTCCCAAATGATATATATCTAGACATGCTAGCAAAGAATTTGAATCAAATTATAAACACACATGCTAATTTGCAGATAGTGAATTTCATCTAAGTACATTGACTTGGATGCAATCTTCCCAAATTTATGCACTGATCTAAAAATCATTCAATTGAATTCACAATTTAGACCAAGTGCGAAGGTAATCGGAGATGAACGATCCACGAAAATCGTCAACAGACAAATTGTGTGTAATGTTTCTCAATTTTTTTCATTTTTCGGGTGTTTTTTGAATTTTTGGATTTATTTATTTTTGTACCTCGTTTTGCATGCCACACACCAGTTGGTGTGTCACGAAGGTTCCGAGAGTGACTTGGGGTATTTATTTGAGTTTAGAACTCTTAGAAATGCATTTTTGACCATTTAGGTATTTTTCTAATTTTTGGGCGAGTAGGTCCCGTGCCCAGGATTTTTTTCACTCGAAATTATTTTTCGTGGTCATTGTATTTCATATTATGTTAATTGGAGTGTGTTTATATGGTTAGGTATTTTATTACATTATATTAGCATGTTGAATGTATATATTTGCACATGGGAGCATTTTCATCATTTCTAGGGTCAAAGCAAACCCACCTTGACCAAGCATGATACATATGACCACATGACCACATTTTTGGTCATTTCCCTCCTTCCTTCACCCGAAATGCTCTCTCTCTCTCTCTCTATACCCTTCCTCTCTCTAAAATCATAGATTTCAAGGCTTTATTTCATCTACTTCCTTCATAAGTTGAACCTTGCCATTAAAAGCAAAATTAACGAGCACGACAAGGTTTACGAGTTTATCGAAGCTGATTTTCAATTGGACAACTTTGGATTTTTCGAAATTTGGGGCATTTTTTAGGCTTTGGCTTTATTTGTTGAGATAGGGGTTTCTAAGACCTGCAATCTTTGGTTTAAATGAACTATCCTCCTTGTTTTTGTATTATGGCACGTTTAATTGTGAATTATCTTATGGTTATTTGGGTTTTGTTTGATAAGCATGATAGTGTGTTTTATATGACAAATATGATAACTTACTTGCTTACTTGAAATATTTGTGAAGGTATATGGTTGTTTTAAGTTACTACATGCTCTACACATGTGTTGTTATGACTATGTGGTTGATAGTTTGTGAATGGATGTAGTACTGATTATTTTCGAAACAATTCAAGTATGATAGTGGTTAATGCATGAAATTTCATATTGGCATGACATTGAAATTCATGATACATTCATAACATTGGCATTGGGTGAGTTTGAAATTTATTTTTGAAAATAGAAATCAATTTGGGATATTTTTTGAAAGGAAGTTTGCGAAAACCGGGTTGTAAGGAGTTACCTTGTGTTTGTAGCGTTAATGGCACATAGAGGGGACGTAGGGAGACTGCCCTACGCATGGTTAAGTTACCTAGGCCCAAATGACGATAAGGAGTTATCTTAAATCAGGGATAGTTAGCCAATCCTCCTTTCGTGGCGTCGAGGAGTCACCTCAAATTGGGTTACATTAACGGTTTGACGGTTAAGGTGTTGGAAAGGATTTTGGAAAATGGGGAGAGACATTGGCATTGCATTTCATTGCATTTATAGGACTTGTATTATATGATGATTATTTTCCTCAAATTAAGCATGATCCTATCTTCCATATTCTATGTTTTGTATGCGATTCACATGATCATTAAGGAGTGTATTTTAGGCACCTCCTACTGACCCATTGTGCTCATCCATTTATTACCATTTTCAGGTCACGGCAAGAAAATAATTGAAAAAGGACCCCCACAAGCTTAGTTAGGGTTAATGGTTTCATTTTGTAAACTACCTTTTTTTTTTTTTTTTTTTCTTTTTTTTCTTTTTGTATTCAATGCTTAGTCTTTGCAATTCTTTTGTATAAGCATTGTAAATTGAGGCATTAAGGCCCGAACTTGTAAACCTATTCTTTTGGGGACTACTTTAATGTATATGGGATAATGAATGTTAATTGAATGCAAGTATAAGTTATGTTTACATTTTGAGATTATTCGAATATTTAATAATCCATATGATGCTTATGTTGATGTTGAATGCAATTATTTGGCTAATTATACTTGCCGTGAGTTGGGACAAAGTTTTGAATGTCAAATGATCAAAGGGATGGACGATAACAGGTCTTGGGGACCGAAAAAGGGCAAACAACCCATTTTTTGAGGGAGCCCGAGCGCTCGGAGCAGATGTCTGAGCGCTCAGCTAGGTGCCTTTTGTAATACTCCTAATTTTCTGAAATTTATTGAATTATATTAATTACATTTTTATTTATTAATGTGGCTATTTGTTTATTTGCTTTTATATTTAATTGTGTGTTTAATTGATTAACTGTTTTATTTAATTATTTTATTTGAATAAATTAAATTAATTTATGTTGACTAATTGTATGTGCATTTTTATTTGATTCCATTTGAAGTGTTTGTATGATCGAATTGTTTTTAAATGTTTAATTGTGTTAGTTAAATGATTTGTTTGTTTTTATTTTTATTTTTTTTAAAGATTTGGGTTATAACTCATAGACCAACTAGATGGGTCTTTGACTACTTAAGTGGGATCCTAAATGGGTTAGATAGTGACCCATAAGGATTAGTAGTTATATATATATATATATATATATATATATATATATATATATTATTTTCATTAAAAATAATGATTAATTAAATTAGTTACCAAGTTTGAAATTGTCAGACGTATGTTAGGTCTAGGATATATGTAGTATATATTTATTAATATCCCTAATTTTAAAAGGATAGTTTCGGAATTTATTTATTTATTTTATTACATTTTTATTTGATTATTTGATTACGTGGCTAAATGTTTATGTGTTTTAATTAAATTATTTGTTTAAATAAATTGTGTGCTTAAATGGTGTATTTTAATTAATTTGTTTGTATGAATTTATTTGCTTAAGTGTTGTGTAGCTATTTGTATTTTAATAGTTAGGAATTAAATGCTT